GAAACTAATGAAAAGTGATCATTAGAAACACAAGGAAGAACCAGTGTCTATGGATAAATATTAGAAAGCATAATCACGTAAATAAATAATGGGCTGTATGGTTAATTAACTAAAGTCAGAGCCTCAAACACCTACATTGGGGGGGTATTGCTAGAACTTCATATACGTCTAGGAACTAGTGTGGTTCGTCACCAGTTCATTGTTTGATAAAGAATATTGTGACCAAAATATTAAAGAATCAATAGGCGATTACCAATAAAAATTATAAAGATTATTAGCATTAGAAAACAATCATTTAAATAAACACATTTTATCTCCAGTGTACATGACGAGTATTCAATTTGATAGTATCATGAACAAATAGAAAAAATTGGAGTAATTAAATGTGTACAAAAAGTCTTAGCTTTAAGACGATTTCTATGACATCATTCACGCCTCGTCCTCGTGATCTCGGGATCTCCACGTAGAAGCCCTTAGAGGTGAATGACACGAATGTAGGTAACAGCTCGTTGACTCCTCACATACGAGCTGTAATTTAAGGGATATTACGTAGCATTGAACTAGGCTACTTAAATCTGAATATTCATGAAATATAAAATAAAGATTAGTGCGGTACTAACGTTGGATTTTTTGTAGTTGTTCGATATAATGACAGGCTGCCCACGACATATACAATCTCTAATGATGCATCAAAAAAGAACTATATACTTATCGAAAGATGCAAATTATGCTGAAGCCTGCCGGTATTGCGTCTCAGTCTCAAACTTCCACAATATCGTACACGTGGTTGAGAGCTTGGCTTGAATATCGACGCGTTATTAGTTGACCGAGCACTGCAGATCACATAGAAGAATAATTATTCGTTCTGGGTTGAGTACCAGTGTAATTCTTGCTGATACTGTAATCCCAACGTCATGTGTCTCAGACTCTGACGCCACGACTTTTGTTGCTCAATTCCGCAACACGAGTCCACCACCCACACACACAATGGCATCTCTCCTTCCTCCCCGCGTCCCCGCATTCACCACAGAAATTATTTATCACGAATAATACTATTTCGCGCAATTGTGGCTGAAAGACTTTAATAAAGACTGGGTTGTAATTCTAGGGATTTAAATATTATTGCTTTCTCGTCTTATGGTGGTAAACGAGAAATGGAGAAGATTTTAGTTTACTCCATGGCATTCACGCGTGACGGTAAAATTATTACTTGATAACAATTGTAACTAAAAACTCTCGATTTAGAATTATTTGGGAGTTATGTTATCCATAAATAATTATCACACGGAATACTGATGATTTTAGTGAATCATATTCAATTCTCTAATACACTGGCTATAAATGTGTTTAGCTAGATATAATCTGACGCAATACTGGTGCTTGGTTTCGTAAGAATTCCAGCATCCATATGCAGATATAATGGTTAGTTTATGTGAACATTACCGTTAGTAAGTTTTAGTGACTACTGTAGTTAGTATCTAATAATACTGATTTATTATAATACAATAGTATTGTATTAGTGTTGGAAATTTCCAACACTTAGGAAGAAATTTGTTGGTTCACCTGTGTGCCAATAGAGGTCACTACTGTGTTTCGTTTGGCCAATCAGAGAGCAGCAACATTCTTCATATTGAAGATTTAGCGCTGGTTTATCGGAGCTCTACTGCCTCCTATTTACGTCGAATTTTCTTATAAAATTAGTATATTTCGAAGTAAAACAATGTTTTTTCAACTTCTACAGCCAGCACCGACATTGTAGTAAACAAATATGTTACATTTGTTGTTTACCTACGTAATTCTAAGAGATACTGTGTAGCTGTCTTTGTTGCTCGGAAGATGCGCTGACAATTATTGTATATATTTACTGAATTTACCCAAGGGCCACTAACTATCTAGTGACCTCGAAGAGGACAGAAAGCCGGCGGCTTGTTAAAGGGCCCGCCAATTGTCTTAATGATATTTTTTAGCTGGAATTTGGCATTTACGGCTTCAGCGGGTAGGCGGTTCCATGGGTTTATAGCCCTCTTGGTGTAAAAAAAACATCTGTTTTCAGTCCTACTTCAGAGAACATACTCTCCAACACTATATCTGTGATTGTCCTGTTATCAGTGACTTCATACCAAATGGTATGAGGTATTTTGAGCTCTGTAATTACTTCATACACTCAGGAATATTGGAAGATATTCTTGTGCTGCACCCAGATTTTGCCAGTGGAGGCTAATAGATCAGCATTAAGTATTTTGTTCTCTCCTAATTCCATGTATGACTGGCCATCCTGTGAGGTGAGGATGTTGGATGAGCTTGTAGCTGGTTTTTTATCTACACTGTGTGGTCCTTTATACAGAATAGGGAAGCAGCACATTGCTGTGTATACCTAAACATGTTTAAAAATACATTGTTTGAGAGGAGTCTTGTAGAAACTGGTAAGAGTAATTATAATATAATGTTTCCATGATTCAGTGCTTACCTCTTGTGAAAATCGCGAAGAGTTGTTTAGTCAGAGTTGATTTGTTTTTTGTATTGAGGCTGGTATTTTCTAAATTGATTCCATGTACAGTATGTCTAACCATCCTGTGAGATGGGAGTATTAGATAAACTTATAGCTAGTTTTTTATCTACACTGTAATATTCCATATAGAATAGGGTAGTAGTACATTGCTGTGTATACCTAATCTTCTTAATAAAAAAAATCAGTAATAAAAATTTTAAATTATAGTTTGTATTATTACAAATACAGTACTGTATTATCCTTATTAAATCATGTTGACCATGGATCATTAAGATCTCATGTTGATATGTAATAGTCATATTTCTTTTGAACTGCTAATCCATGCTAATCATTCATTAAATTGTGCATTATGTCTCAATTTTTCACTTCCTTGCATATACTGTACAGTGCAAAAAGATAGGATAAAAGTAAACCAGTAATATTTCTTTCATTATATTTTTCATTTAAATAACTGCATCAATATTTTTACAGCTGACAGGATTTGTTTTACCATACAGGTGCATTATTTGTTAAAAAAAATTTGGTTTATTGTTACACACAATGGTGCTACATAGCCTTCCCAGCTTGGTGCCTTCTTTTAATACTTACTGATTAAAAAATAAATAATAAATACATTTTATTCAGGAAAAGTACATACAGTTGATTTACAAACATAATGTTGGATTTATAGACAGCTAGTACATACAATACGTAAACCACTAATACTCATAGCATTTCGGGCAAGGTGTGGGGGAAAAAACACAGACTAAAACTTAATAGTAATCAGGATTAGGTATAAATTGTGTTGAAAGAAGGAATAAAAAATACAAAAAGGGGGGGTTAACATAGCATAAAACAGCAATTGCACATGTTGGTGAACAGCGTTGTTTAAAAAATAGCAAGACATGGGTTGACATTTAGGAGGTAAGTTAGGTTACATGGAGTTAATTAGGCAGTACTGTACTTGGTTTAACCCTTAAACTGGTTGAGAGAGGTACAGCCTTTGACATGATTCGGGAGGTCATTCCACATTCTGGGTCCCTTGATTTGTAGAGCACTTCTAGTTTGGTTACACACAGCCAAATTGAGTAACAGGAAGAGGTCTTGGACACAAATTTGTTCCATGCAAAATGTAGAGGAATCAGCTGAGTATTCCTCAAATAAAATAAGTTGCCTCAGCTTATAAGATAAATAAAATAAGCATTTCTCAAATAAGTAGCTGCCTCACCTCACTGCCTTACTGCTACATAGCCTTCCCGGCATGTTGCCTTCTTTTGATAATTATGTATTCCACACCCAAATTGTATAACAGGAAGAGGTCTTGGACCCCTACTTCCCTCTCTCTTTTTTTAATAGTCTATATAGTCATAATTATAGCTTTAAGTATTCAATGAATAAAGTTTTTGACATTTTTACCCTTCTCCTTACCTAACATCATTTGTGCAGCATATTTTTATTTTATGTCTCACCCAGATTTAATTTCAAAATAAAACCAAACTAAATAAATTAGAAATGGGTATGTATAGCTAAGGTACACCCTTACTACTAGGTGAACAGGGGCATTTGGTGATAGTAAAATTATCCCATCAGGCAGGGCTCATCACCTTCTCTCATATTTCATGTTCACCAGTGTTTATTTACTTAATAACTACTGGTATAATATCTTGCTATTATAAAACTAATTCTACTACTGTATCATGAAACACATATTTACTTCAAGTTTCAAGCAGAGAATGCATATATAACTAACACGAAGGACTCCTCTTCACTAGATTCACCAGCTATAATATTTTGGTCATGTTCCAATATCATAAATCGATCCCAGTGTTATGTAGTAGAGAAAAAATGACTTATATCCAGTTTACGTAAAGCTACGAGTGGTCGAAACCACACTTAAATCCCGGAATGAACTTACGAAGGTTTTTCCACTTAGTGTAGCTACTTGAATACGGACGTAGCCGCCACGAAGGCGCTAAGAGAAAAAAGCTTCGTAAGTACCTTCCTGAATCCGGCTCCTGGCCTTGTTATAGTTTTCCCATAATGTTTTATGCTCCTTTTTTTTATGTGAATGTTTCCTCATGAAAGGTTGTGTTGGGTGGGAACTAGGGCAAGTTGATGAGGGAGTAACCCAGAAAGTGGTGGTTTATTTCACTTAACAATATTTCTGTAACCTGTACCCATATATACTGACGAACACAAATTATGGTCATATGGCCTATTTTCACAAAATCCAAAATTTTAAACTCTTTGAGGAGCTGGAACATGTATTCTTAGATAACAGGAGAATCAATGTCTTATTTTACACTAAACTCACACATCAGAAAAGTAAGTGTTAGTATATTTCTTTAATATTTCTAATGTATTGGCTTACACTACTGTTAGTTATTCCCGTCCCTTTTCTGAGAGTTATTCTTTTAGATAAGTGTACCCAACAATATTTTTTATTTAAGTATAGCATTTATGATGTTTCTGTGAATAGTCATCCTAAATGTTTGACTAATATTAATTCCAGACTGAGGGTGACACAAGCGGAATGAATGGATATGCACAAGTTGGATCAGCAGTACCAAATCATATTGAATTAGCTTCTTTGGTGTCCAATGTCCAAGACCTGTTGCCAGAGCTAGGAGCTGGTTTTATCCAAGAATGTCTGAAGTAAGTTTTGCCTTATTTAAAATGTAAATTCTACTCTTTACTTTATTATCAATGCACAAGGAAAAGTATGAAACTCCTCTCGCAATATCCAGCCCATCCTTCTGTTTTGGTAGTACAATATCTATAGTAACACTGAGGACAGTAATATATATATACCAACATACAACAAATACTTGCCGCCAATTCTCTCTGCTTCCAGTTTGTTTGTGTAGCTTCGGGGGTTTTTCATTTCGTCTAGTTTTTTCGCTTTTGTTTCTGGAGGTGGTCTGCTATGCTTCTCATTAGGTATGCCTAGGTTGTGTTGGTAGTCCTTTGGTGCTCTCAAGGTTTAACAACTGCTACTGGTGGTCAGTTTGCCTGGTATTAGACAGGGTTCAACCAGCTTAGCTAGCCCAGTGCATAGGTTTCCCATAGGGCTTACTCCTCCCTACAGGCCCTGGAAATCCCCATTAGGCTTGGGGGTGACCATGAGTGTGTCTTCTGAGTCCTCTCTCGCTTTGTGTGATGTTGAAGGGTGTTCATTGCACTTGCCTCAGGGTGACGATTATTCATACTGCCTCCGCCATACTGCCTGTTGGGTCAGTGACACCTCTGACTTGGAGTCTTGCTGGATTTGTTCTCCACTTGTGCTCCAGTTTACTCATTCTTTGTCTGAAGGTCTCAGGGGTCTGGTGGCAGCTGCATTGAATGCTAGGTTTTCATTGTTGCAACGAGCCAGGTTGGTCGCCTGTTTGGATGCCCCGCCTGGGTTTTAGGGACCAGGATTTAGAGGCGTTCGTCGCTTCGACCGTGGTTCCGTCCTCAAATGTGAATGTCTCTGCCAACCTTCCTTCCCAGGTTGGCGTGGTTCGCCCTGCTTCTCCCTGACCTGCTTCCGGCTCCCAAATGTCTGAGGGTTTCAGAGTTGGGGCGGAGTTTTGCTCTGAATGAGGCTTGGGTGGCTTCAACGATTGCCCCTTCCGATTCGGGAAGGGGCATTTCGGTCGTATGTCCGGTGGCGGCTTTATGTCACCACCTGCGACATACCTGTGACTGCGTGGTAGACTCCCATTGTGGCTCCCTGAAGCTAATACATACTCACAGAGGAGAGTAAATGGCTAAGCAACAGGAAGGAGGGAGAACCGCCAACACAATGATGAAGAAGAGACGCCCTGCCAAAAAGTTGATTCCAAGATCACACACAGCCTCCAAAACTCAAACACACCAACAGGAAATAAGGTCACCCAGACCTGGGATGACTGAAAAAAAATCGTGCCTGAACAACAGCCTAGGTCAGGGTCGCAAGGACAGCCGAGAAAAACAGCAGTAACATGGGACTACAAAAAAACGGCAATCAGGCGAGGACATTGTAGTACTCCCATAAGTTGGTACCTAGTAGTCCCAACTGATGGAACCTAGTAATATGACATGCTATCAGAGATAGTAGCTTCAGGGTTCACTCAGAAATTGATGTTTCATTACATTCTTGATTGAAGCCTTCATGGCCCATAAAAATAGGAAATGGGGTAATGAAAATGTATGTATTTCATGTTTTGTTTGCAATATATTCGTACATTCTTTAGTTCATGCTCTTTTTAATAATATGTATTGTGATTACTCTAGGTACTACTGCTATTCCACGGAAGATGTTATTCATGCTCTCCTAGAAGGAAGCCTGCCACCTTCATTGGTCACTCTGGATCGCTCTATGCCTGCTCAAGTGGAACAGAAGCCCTCATCCCCGCCATTGCCACCCTCAACGGAGGATGATACCCAGGTACTGAACTATAATACTATGTTAGGTATATTGCTGGAACAAAGGTGGATGTATTCAAGGCACTTACATAGTTCTTGCAAGAAGTGCTGAACCAACCAGGCTGTAGTGGATACCTGAGCCTACGGGCTGCTCCAAGCAACAGCCTATTGGACAAAGTTATCACAAGTCAAGCCTGCCTTAGGATAGCCAGGCTCGGGGAGTAGAAGAATTCTCAGAATCTTCTCCAGATATGCTCCAGGTATTGAATTATGATGTCCAGAAACTGAATGCTGGCACAGAGTACTGGATTGTATCACAGGACACTAAATTACTGAGGCACAAGGAGTTCCCCAACTACAAATGGGTTACATTCTTGAAAAGTGTTCGTACAACATTTGTTTGGAACGTACAGCGAGATCCTGCATTCTGCAGTCCCGAGACTGCAGAATGCCTACTACTACTACTAGAACGAGATTTCCCATAGGCGCAATGCAATAAGTGGGGGATGCTTTCCTGGACCACCAAAAATCATCATAATACCAATGTTTTTGGGACATACAGAAAACATACCATATTATTTACCATGAATGATGATGTCCTTTTTGTCAAAGTTGGCTGTTTTTGAGGAGTGCGGGGATCTAGTTGTTGTGACAGTGATGGGTGATGTCGGTCGGCCGAGTGGACAGCACACTGGACTTGTGATCCTGTGGTCCCGGATTCGATCCCGGGCGCCGGCGAGGAACAATGGGCAGAGTTTCTTTCACCCTATGGTCTGTTACCTAGCAGTAAGATAGGTACCTGGGTGTTAGTCAGATGTCACAGGCTACTTCCTGGGGGTGGAGGCCTGGTCGAGGACCGGCTGCGGGGACACTAAAAGCCCCGAAATCATCTCAAGATAACCTCAAAATGTTGCATCGGCAGCAAAGATTGGCTGGCCATCTTCAGTCTCACTGCCTGCGTTTGATAAGGGAGATGATGCATGGGTGACAAACATGGATGGGCCATAATCAAGGTCACTAGTATCTGTAGAATTGAAAAGTTTTGGTTCAATCTTTTTCTTAAGATCGTTGAAGCTATTGATAGAGTATTAACTGCAGGGAGCCACAATGGGCTCTCCACAGAAAACCAGCATTACTGTACTGTATATGTAACGAGATGCCGATTTCTGGGTGAGCCCCGGTGGCTCCCTGACATCCTCCCTCCCTCCCTCCAGGTCATCAGGGGGGATGTCATAATATTATGATCATGGTACAAGTTATTGTATCAAATGAAGGAAAACAACATGTAAAGGATCTGGGAATGATGATGCCTTAAGACCTAACGTTTAGGGAGCATAACCAAACAAATATTGCGTCAGCCAGAAAAATGATAGGATGGATTATGAGAACCTTCAAATACAGGGATCCCATCACAATGGTTGTACTATTCAAATTACTTGTGCTGTCCTATCTTGAGTACTGGTATTTCTTGATATTCGCTTCCTCCTTCAGAGCAGGAGAGGTTGCTGAAATAGAGGGAATACAGAGAACATATATGGCATACATAGACATAATAAAGCACTTAAACTATTGGGATTGTCTCTAAGCTCTCCAAATGTACTCACTAGAAAGGAGACGAAATGGGTATAAAATAATATACACATGGAAAATACTGGAGGGGCAGGTCCCAAATTTACACAGTAAAATAACAATATGCATACTGGAATGAACAGTATGGATGAACATGCAGAAGAGAACTAGTGAAGAGCAGGAGTGCCATAGGCACAATCAGTGAACACTGCATGAACATCAGAGGTCCACGGTTGTCCAACATCCTCTCAGCGAGCATAAGAAATAATGCCTGAATAAATGTGAATGTCTCTTATCAACTCAACTGTGCCGCATTATAATGACACCTCAGTGGTACGCTAGAAAACGTTATTTAAAAAAGTTATTTTCTCTTGTATTGTTAATATGTGGTCTCTGATCACGGAACTAAACTAAAATATTGTAGGTGACATACATGACGTATGATGGAGCTGAGAAAGTGAGCCATGTATGAGTGCTGGGTGAGTAGGCGCCCAAACATGCTTGCCACAGTTGCCGCAAATATAATTTTTCATAATTATTTCAATGTGTCTCATTTGTTTCTCCTCTGGTTTTTTGCTGTAATATTATTCAAACATGTGTACTTTGTGGAATTTATATAATGGTAGTTAACCCCTTAACTGCGTTGCCTCCAAATGTGACACCCCCGCAGTGCGCAGGAAATAAATTCTCTGGAAAAAATTCTTTTTTCTTTTTAAAGTGTCAAAAACCCTTCCCTCAGTATGGGTATGTAAAAAAAAAGTCGAAATTGTACTTACTTTGGCTGCTATGGGGTCCGGAAGTTGGGGCGTGACGTCATCATTCCCCGTGCGCCCGTGCCGTAAGCTCTCGGGGGCAGTGGGGCGCTCGGGGCGGGGTGCGCGAGTTGCCGCGAATATATTTTCGTTCATTTTTTGCGCACCTTTCCAAATACATTTTCATTGTTTTTATGTGCCAATCCAATGTATAATGAACACGTACACTATAATATCGCAGTACAACATCCGTACTGTCCGTAGACACTGTGTTACGTGCATGAAACTTGTGCGCACATATGCAGCACATATTTACTATGTATCATGCTAATTTGTGTATATATACAATCTATTTACACACTATACACTGTCACACACTATATACATTCACCATCAACACATTCAGAACACCGCGTAGCAGCTGTTTCATATGGGCCAATAGCAGCTGCCTCGTATGGGCCAATATCAGCTGCCTCGTATGGGCCAACAGCAGCTGCCCCGTATGGGCCAACAGCAGCTGCCTCGTATGGGCCAATAGCAGCTGCCTCGTATGGGCCAATAGCAGCTGCCTCGTATGGGCCAATAGCAGCTGCCTCGTATGGGCCAATAGCAGCTGCCCCGTATGGGCCAATAGCAGCTGCCCCGTATGGGCCAATAGCAGCTGCCCCGTATGGGCCAATAGCAGCTGCCTCGTATGGGCCAATAGCAGCTGCCTCGTATTGGCCAATAGCAGTTGCCTCGTATGGGCCAATAGCAGCTGCCTCGTATGGGCCAATAGCAGCTGCCTCGTATGGGCCAAATAGCAGCTGCCGCGTATGGGCCAAATAGCAGCTGCCTTGTATGGGCCAATAGCAGCTGCCTTGTATGGGCCAATAGCAGCTGCCTCGTATGGGCCAATAGCAGCTGCCTCGTATGGGCCAATAGCAGCTGCCTCGTATGGGCCAATAGCAGCTGCCTCGTATGGGCCAATAGGAGCATTTGACCATGAACACATTCAGAACACCTCGAGTGAGAGCAGCCACACCCAGCCAGTCTCCCTCACTCCAACATCTTACTCGCCAACATTGTTCCTCCCACCATATTATTATAGTTCTTATTACACATGTTCTATATACCTATCTACATGTTTTATTTACCAGAACTATGCAAGTAAGCCGGTATTGTGTCCAAACAGTACAGTGGCCACCATACACTGCATGAAAAATCACACAGCAGACGACGCTACGATTACGTCACCTCCCTCACCGAAATAGCTCCTCTCAACATTCTCCTGTTGCTGTTCTTACACTATATACACACACTATATATACCCATGTACATATGTGTTGCCCATAGCGAACCAATAAGCTAGTATGGTGAGCAAAACAAGAGTGGCAGCCACACACACACAATGAGGCTACCTCAATTCTCGCCCTCCCTCATCAAAATTCCTCCTTCCACAATACTACGCACAACGCTAATTATAACCACAATCCTGCTATTATCACAATCCTGGTCACTAATTCCTGTAAATGAATAATTGACCACACGTTTATTTTAAAAAGGAACCTTAGAAATCATTTGAAGATTCCTAGATGAACGAAATAATGCTGTGGTGCTGTGGCTAGCGCTGTGAACATCGTGAGCAGCATTGAATCACTGATATTTGAACATTGTACCCAGTCATTATCACACTCAGGCTCTAATATAACACTATCATAGCTAAATAATACAAGTTATATATATATTTTGGCATTATTAGGCGATGCTGTGGTCACATGCTGAACAGCAGTGCTGTGCGCTCATGCTGCGAGCGCCAGCCTTGGTTGCTCACACACTACTGAGGCTCCCACACCCGGGAATGTGGACCACGATTTTTTTTAAAGATGGCGTCTGTTTACAAGAGCCCTGAGGAAGCTGATGTGAACCCCATGTAGCCGCGGGAGTTTTGAATGGAACGTGAAAAATACAAATACCCGGAGGCGCGTTGCGCAAACCAGACGTGAGCCTGCAGGCGCGTTGCGCAGTTTAAGGGTTAAATGTTGTGAAATATCACTCTACTAAAAAATATGGTGACACGTATTTTATATTCTAAGCTCAATCAAACACTGTTTTTGCTGTTATTTCACTATATATATATATGTATGTTATATATAACTATCTACACTTTTATGCACCATTTCGAACCTCAAATATAGTGTGTTGAGAGGTACTGTTCATAACGACTCAAAGCCCTATTTCTAGGAGGCCCCTTCTTCTTCCAAGCCTTAGTGAGGTGTACCAGGCCTCTGAGACCCACACTGATCTGCCAGGAGCTATGACCGGAACCTGGTTCTCTCGATGAGGTGAAGGGAGCTTGGGTAGCAGAGAGCAACCCAAAACTGAGAAAAAATCCTACCAGTACACACAAGTGCAACACAACAAACAAATGCCCGAATAAAATTACCCTAAGGTAATTAGGGTTAATTAAGGTAATGGGAGCCGGTCGGCCGAGCGGACAGCACGCTGGACTTGAGCCTGGGTTCGATCCCAGGCGCTGGCGAGAAACAATGGGCAGAGTTTCTTTCACCCTGTGCCCATTACCTAGCAGTAAAATAGGTACCTGGGTGTTAGTCAGCTGTCACGGGCTGCTTCCTAGGGGTGGAGGCCTGGTCGAGGACCAGGCCGCGGGGACACTAAAAAGCCCCGAAATCATCTCAAGATAACCTCAAGGTAATCAGTG